CTTCCTTCATTTCACACCTGAAGTACTTCTTCTTTAGAAACAATTTATGTACTAGAGTGTCTCTCTCAACATGTCCCTTCAGTGTATCCCACGCTTCTTTAGGTGACTGGCAACTTGCAATCATGTACAGTTGAGATGTACTTTTTTTTTTTGTAATGATACATCTTCTGATGTTAAGCTAGGGCACATCATCAATGATGTTCCTGATCTCATTGGGTGTTTCGGGTCTTTCAAAACATCAGACACCCTCCTTCAGGTGACCCAGCTGAGGTTGATCAAGCCTCAGCTTGTGCCCTAGCAGCATTTGTCCACGGATCCGCTCTTTTGATCCAGAGACACCTTGAAGCATTCTCCACAGCCTCTGTGCTGTTGTAGATAGCCCTTCTTCTCCTCTCACCTGTGATGCCAAGTGCACTCAAGGCCCTATGGAGAGATTGCCCTGCAAAGCCTCTGCACCCAACCTCCACAGATAAGCACTTTGCCTTACAGCCTTGATTATGGCAGTCGCTGACAAGCCCTTCAAATTTTGCCCTCTTCCTTTCGAAAGCTTCTTCCATTCTGTCTTCCCATGGCACAGTGAGCTCCCACATGACCAGGTTCTTTGTTCCCTCTGATACCAAGACAATGTCAGGTCTCAGGGTGGTATTGACGACATGCTGGAGGAACTTAAGCTGTTTGCTCAAGTCCACGTTCAGCTGCCGAACCTGTGTGGTATTAAGAATCCCTGATGTTACCCTGGAAGATCTTTCTGGCTTCTCTCCGGCCCTGATGAAGCTGATGGTTAGCTTAGAGGGTTTGGACCTCCGGCAGCTGCTGATGTCGGCCTGGATGCTCACTGCAATCGTTTTGAGCACCTGTTCATGCCGCCAGCGATATCAGCCTTCCCCCAAGGCCAATATCATTAAGCACCAACATTGAAAATGCTTTTTCTTTCCTTCTAGTGAATTCGGCTCGAGTAGCTGCATTAGCATCTGGCGGTAATGTTTCCGTCTCCATTACCATGCCCCATAGACTTCTAGCTTTCAGCAGATGCTCCATCTGGAATTTCCACGTAGTTGTCTGGTCCTCTTAGCTTGTCGATAAAAAATCTGTCCTCCATTGTGAATCCCACAACACCGAGTACTCCACACAGAATCCGTGTAAAACCACTGTTTTAAGCTCCTTTACTGGAACTGACTGGGACTGGGCCCATAACCTGTTGAACTTTTACAAGCATTTACTGAACTGAAAAACACGGAACATACATAGCACCACAAGGTGGCAGTATTTCTCATCCTGATCTGCATTGTCAAATTACTGTATTACAGCAGTTTAAAATTGAGAAATCATGTTATGCATTGTTATGAAATTAAAGTGTCTTTTAATCAATGGAAAGTTCTTATAAGGAAAGTGAAGATGACCGTTTCAAATGTTTCATTTGGAAATGTGTGAATGTGTTGGAATGGCTGAGTGGATTGTGCAGAGGCTAGCAGTGTTATTATTCTGTGTGGATGCCTGTCATGCATCGACTTTCCACTGGAGCACTAGTATATGTGTGTCAATGGCTGTTCGTGTCGGATTGGTGCCCGTCCATGGTATATTTTGCACTTTGCCTAATAGCAGGTTGGATAGGCCTTAGCCTTAGAGTAGCTCTGGATAGGATGAAGTTGGGAGTACTACAGCTGGACATGTTGCTATATTTTGAATTAGATATTGTTGTACCTTGATCATCAGAAATGAACAAGCTACGGTGCTGGTATGCATACTTCAAATTGAAATGCTTCATTAGTGCTACTGGAAATTCAATTAGCTGTGTCCACACAACTCTGTCCTCTAAGATGCAAGTGACTTTCTGTATGGTCAGGTCACTCTCCCACACCGTTAATTTTGTAATTATTTTTTCTAACTCTTCGGCCAAAACCACTACTCACTTAGCCCTAGGCCCATTCCAATCTTACAGAAACCAAATCCATTGACCCCATTTCACCAAAGTTAATATGAGGGTCAAGCAGTCTGAGAAAGGCAAACAAAGATATACTCCTAAAGTTGGAGCCATTTTTTAATTCTTCCTGTCTCACTTCACGATGGATCTTTATTAGGTTTTTACCAAGTTACTCAAAATGTTGGGGTGCAGCCATGAAGCTATTATTTACTTCCTTGTGGATTTCATTGCTGGAATCTCTAATCTCCGGGGCTGAAGTCACCGAGGTAGTCAAAAAGCTCCGCGGTGGCAAGGCTCCGGGGGTGGATGAGATTCGGCCGGAGTTCCTCAAGGCTCTGGATGGTGTGGGGCTGCGTTGGCTAACGAGACTCTGCAACATCGCGTGGACATCAGGGGCAGTTCCGCTGGATTGGCAGACTGGGGTGGTGGTCCCCCTATTTAAAAAGGGGGACCGAAGGGTGTGTTCCAACTACAGGGGGAATCACACTCTTAAGCCTCCCTGGGAAGGTCTATTCAGCGGTTCTGGAGAGGAGGGTCCGTCGGATAGTCGAGCCTCGGATCGAGGAGGAGCAGGGAGGTTTTCGTCCTGGCCGTGGAACGCTGGACCAGCTCTATACCCTCAGCGGGGTCCTACAGGGTGCATGGGAGTTCGCTCAACCAGTACACATGTGTTTTGTGGACTTGGAGAAGGCGTTCGACCGTGTCCCTCGGGGTATCCTGTGGGGGGTGCTCCGGGAGTATGGGGTACCTGGCCCTTTGTTACGGGCTGTTCGGTCCCTGTACGACCGGAGTCAGAGTTTGGTTCGCATTGCCGGTAGTAAGTCGGACTCGTTTCCGGTGGGAGTTGGACTCCGCCAAGGTTACCCTATGTCTCCGGTCCTGTTCATAACTTTTATGGACAGGATTTCTAGGCGCAGCCGAGGTGTTGAGGGTGTGGGTGTCAGTCTTGGTGGGAACGTGAGATCGATAGGCGGATCGGTGCGGCGTCTGCAGTAATGCGGGCGCTGTACCGGTCTGTCGTGCTGAAGAGAGAGCTGAGCCTAAAGGCGAAGCTCTCAATTTATCGGTCGATCTACGTTCCCACCCTCGTCTATGGCCACGAACTTTGGGTAGTGACCGAAAGAACGAGATCGCGGATACAAGCGGCCGAAATGAGTTTCCTCCCTAGGGTGGCTGGGCTCTCCCTTAGAGATAGGGTGAGAAGCTCGGCCATCCGGGAGGGGCTCAGAGTAGAGCCGCTGCTTCTCCACGTGGAGAGGAGCCAGTTGAGGTGGCTCGGGCATCTGTTCAGGATGCCTCCTGGTCGCCTCCCTGGGGAGGTGTTCCGGGCTCGTCCCACCGGGAGAAGGCCCAGAGGAAGACCCAGGACCCGCTGGAGGGACTATGTGTCCCGGCTGGCCTGGGAACGCCTCGGGATCCCCCCGGAGGAGCTGGCTGAAGTGGCAGGGGAGAGGGAAGTCTGGGTCTCCCTGCTCCGGCTGCTGCCCCCGCGACCCGACCCCGGATAAGCGGAGGACAATGGATGGATGGATGGATTTTATTGCAGTTAAAAGTCTCTGTTTGGCCTGTTACAATGAACATATAGTTTTCTTCATTATTTGAAGAATTACCAGGTAGTCTGCATAATGATCCATCAAATAAATTTTGCATAATTGAATGGTAAAAACATAGCTCAAAACCTTGTTGTACACTACCAAGATTAACCTTATTACAGAGGGCAGAAGACTGCACAACAATAAGTTTGATTTATCGAACGATAATAGATTAGGAATATTCAGAAATTATTTCTCTTAATTTCTTTTCATATTTAGCTGAAGGGCCTAATAAAGACCAAACCAAAAAAATAAATCAATTTTTTCTTGGATCAGGCATTAAAGGGTGAAAGGCACCAACATCCTATCTACAATGTGCATCTTTTATTTGGGGTTGTTGCAGCTAACAGAAGTCATTTTAATATTGAATGCATCTTTCACAAAAAGGCTTGGCTTGCCATTATATGGAAAACAGCAGGGATTGATATGATGCCTCCAGATTTATGCTGCTGTATATGTTTCAACTACAGCAGAAAAAGTTACATTGATTTGCTTTTTAAGCAAAAAAAAAGTTAGTGCTAAACTCTTTCTATGTTGTGTTTGGGTGCTATGTCACTACCATTACAACAGCTAATCTCTCTCACATTCACCTATTTGACAAATTGTCTACATAATGAAGACAACCACAAGGTGAGACTGCATCAATGCATCAATGAACAATCTGGTTGAATGGTGGGTGCATAGACTTAATTATTCTAAGCAGCACATTTAAAGTCACTTAGCTAAAGGACAAATTATTCACTGGGTAAATTTGCGGAATTAGATGCTTTTAATTCTACATACACTTGTTTGTTCTTCCACCACACTTGTTTCTTTAATGACAGTTAATTTGACTAATTGCAATGCTCTCTGACAGCAGTATCATTCAGAGTGTCAAGACCCTGTGAGAATATTCAGATTTTCTACCTTGCATATTGATGTATATTTATTCAAATAGTGTATTTGCTTTTTCTTTGTAATCATCACTACACTTAGACAGAGATAACAGGAAATTTTATGTAGAATATTATTTTAGACGGCATGCATACAACTAAATGTATACTTTGGATAGAAACAAATTTTTGGACAAAGCCAAAGGAAATAAGTTGACGCAGACTGAATAATTCCCTCTTGTCATGTAAAGTGCAGGATAGCCAGGTAAAACCATTTTTCCATGAGCACAAAGGTGTCAGTAGCTGTCAAATGGACCAAATTTTAGAGATCGCCTCAAACATCAGCTACCTGACCAAACAAAGGAAGTAGTAGACCACATTAAACTCAGGATTTTGTGGTCTCACCAAAAAGGTTACCTTTAAGCAGCCTTACCTTATTTCCACGCAGTTTTTGACGTCGAGGTGAGAGCAGTCAGGTATCAAGGAGAAGGTTAGTGGAAGTGTTTGTAGCTGACGGTCCCAACACCAAGACAATGTCTCAGAGGTCTCAGGAAGACAAAGCTGCAGACACAAGGAGAGGAAAGAATAAAACAATGAAGGCTTTCTATGTTATAGTTATGCTGGTTTGGCCCGATAACTACACAGAAAGAGAGACAAGTGGCTCCTGTGCTCCTGAAAATCAGCTCCGAAAGAGGGCAGGTGTCCAACCTCTACCTTAGTACCTGCTCAGATCCGCCTAGAAACTCCATGCCAAGTACATTCATGACATTCTTTCTGCTTTATTGCTGATGGCATCTCAGCAGATGGAAAATGCTTTAAATGGGTCCAAAAATCCCACTCTTAATTAATGTACGGGAAATCACTCCACTCAGAATAACTGAAAATGGGTGCATCTGTGGAAGAGATTTCTGAAAAATATATGTCAAATCTGCCTTGTTTATATCCTGTAGGTGTCACAGTCCATGAGTTCATGTTTATAATTTTTCTCTATTTTTCCTTGGTGGTCTTTACTCATTTCCTGTTTTACATTTGTAGGCTTCTCTTAATGTTAATTGCTTTCACCCCCTGTCTTGATAACATCCCAACCTGGCTGTTACAGTCTACCTCGCCCTATTTTCTCCATCCTGTTCTTACTTCCTCTGTCTACAAATACTCTTTGTTTTCAGTTACGCTTAGTCAAATAATTTCATGTGGCTTCTTTGTTTGTTCTGAGAATTTTTTTTACACAGTTTATTTCTAGTTAGCAGTTCTCATTGTCGTCTAATCAGTGATTGTTTAATAAACCTACGTGACCATCTGCAGGCTATGCTTCTCCTTATTGTCTGCATTTGGATGCACTTTTTTAACATTCATCGACTGTGGGAAATGGCAGCTTGGAAAAATTAATTATAAACAGACAACACAGAAATAAAATATTTTAACTAAACTGTCAGTGTATTAAGAATTTTAATGCGAAAATAAACATCAGTATATGAACATGTTCGAAGGAGGGAAGCACAGGCAGCAGGCTGTGCCAGAGTGAAAACTCCACTTAGCATCTGGGGAGAAACTTGAGGATGGTTCACAAACACTTCCCGTCCAGTTAGAGAGAGTATAAGCAACCCTGCTTAAACTCTCTCGCCTGATTCTATTGGCCAGGCATTCGGGCAGACTTGAGCCGCTGGTGTGCGGTCTTCCCTGAATGCCGATTGGTTAATCCACCGTCCATCCCGAGGGCGCCTCTGCGCCCACTACCACTGATGGAGGTCCCATTTGAATGGGTTGGAATGGACCTGATCGGACCATTCCCCTGGAGCGCACGCGGATATCAGTTTGTGTTAGTCCTTGTGGATTACGCAACCCGATATCCTGAGTCAGTGCCGATGCGCACCATCTCTGCAAAGAGTGTGGCGCAGGAGCTGTTTCAGGTTATCTCCCGAGTCAGAATCCCGAAAGAGATCCTGACTGAACAAGGCACTCAATTTATGCCACAAACACTAAGAAATCTGTACGGATTATTGGACATCAAGTCAATTTGGACCAGTGTGTACCTTCCTCAAACTAATGGCCTCGTGGAGCGCCTGAAAAAGACTTTGAAGTCCATGATCCGTAAGTTTGTGCACGATGATAACCATAATTGGGACACATGGCTGAATCCTCTGTTGTTTGCAGTGCGGCAGGTACCCCAGGCATCCACGGGATTTTCTCTACTGTTTGGCAGGAAACCACAAGGGGTGTTGGACCTGGTTAAAAAAGCTGGGAGGAAGGTCCAAGCCCCAGTAAAATTGAGGTTCAGTACATCCTGGACCTGAAAGCAAAATTCAGCTGGAGGAGGGGAGGTGTGGGGAAGGCTCAGGGGAGCAGTGCCAATGGAGGTGATTAGCACACCTGGAATCAGTCGGCCACCACATAAAAACAGTAGCGTGCTGGACCCAGATCCTAGTGGAACTACATAGCTTACTTTGGCATGCATGGAGGACTCATCGCTAACACTCACAAACTGAAACCGATCTGATAAATAGGACAGAAACCACATTAGAGCGGCTCCTTTAATGCCAATGAAATGTTCCGGTCTCTGTCATAGGATCTGATAGTCAATGGTGTCAAAAGCAGCACTAAGATTTAGTAAAACCAATACGGAGACGAGTCCTTTGTCTGATGCCGTTGGAGGTCAAAAGTCATTTTCACCAGTGCCGTCTCTGTGCTATGATGAGTTCTGAATCCTGACTGAAAATCGTCAAACAAGCTATTGCTATGTAGATAGTCACACAGCTGTTTGGCGACTGCTTTGTCCAGGACCTTGGAGATAAATGGAAGGTTAGATATAGGTCTATAGTTGGCTAAAACATCTGGGTCCAGGTTAGGCTTTTTCAAAAGAGGTTTAAATAAAGCTACTTAAAAGTACCGTGGCACATAGCCTGTTCATAAAGACATATTGACCACATCTAGTAGAGAAGTACTGACTAAGGGTAAGACTTCTTTAAGCAGCCTAGTTGGTATGGGGTCCAATAGGCAGGTTGATGGTTTGGATGAAAAAATGATTGATTGCAGTTGGCAAAGATTGAAGGAGGCAAAGCAGTCAAAGCATATAACTGGGTCTACAGCTGTTTACAGTTTCTGAGTTTAAAGATAAGTTAGTGCCAGTTGAAGGCAAGTCATGGTGGATTTTGTTTCTTATAGCTAGCATTTAATCATTGAAAAAGCTCATGAAGTCATGGCTAGTGAGAGCTATTGGAGTACACAGTAGAGTTGTGGCTTTCTGTCAGCCTGACTACAGTGCTGAAAAGAATCCTGGGATATTTCCTATTTTCCTCAATTAAAGACGAGTAGTACGCTGCTTTGGCATCACAGAGGGACTTTCTTTAAGTTTTAAGATTATATTGCAAGATAAAGGAGAATTTTCCAGCTTGGTGGAATGTCAGTTTCTCTCAAGTTTCCATATTTGCTTTAATTTGCGGGTTTTAGTAGTATTCCATGGAGCTAACCGTCTTTAAGTATTTTCTTTTTTAGAGGGGCTACAGAGTCGAGAGCTGTTCGCGGTGAGCTTTCAACACTATAATCAAGATAGCAAGGCCTCTTTTTCCTTCATGTGCCTCTATGATGAGTTGTGTCACCACTCCGGTGTGTTCCAAACAGGCAAGCACTCCAGGGATCCCATCTTTTTTAACAGAGATGTCAATATAGCTGTTCCTCATGTTAGCCCGATTCTTTAGTTGGAATCCAGAGAATAAACCAGAGAAGATCAAAAGTAAAATTATGGCATTTATTGGTCACAAGCAAAGTAAATCAGCGTTGGGCTCCGACAGACCAAGTTCCCAGAGGATCTCAGTCGGCAAGAGCCTTGATTTCCGGGTGCGATGGCCAGTTATCCCCTGGTCCGGGCCTCGAACAGGAGGACGGCTGGATGCAACCGAGTGTTATTGGCCATTTAATTCTGACATGAACAGGCCAGCCCCTCTTTCATACAGGTTTTGGTGGAATGTGATAAGAAAGTGTGTGTGTGTGAATGTTGACCTTGAAGACATGTAGGCCTATCTACTGTAACCGAGAGAGGAGGAGGAGTGGGCACAGCCAGAGAGTTTAACACAAAAGTATAATTCTAAAGGGGATAATATAAATCTAAAAAGGAGTAAGAGAATCAGTCATTTACATGGATTAAGTTATAACATACAGTACTATGCTAAAGTGAGTAATTATAGCCCAATTCTAACACTCAGAAGGAACTCCGTTAGTCGTTCTGACAAGATGCTGAAAAATATCTAGATTTCGACACTTGAGATGGTTCTAAACTGACTGATTAAGCTGGAGTTCTTTTCACTGGGCATAGACCTTCTGCACAGCTCCACTGTTTTGGTCCCTTTCACCACCTGAACCTGAGCCAAGCTGGGCTCTCTCATTACAAAGACCACGGTTGGAGGTTGTGGGCCTATGAGGGCACACATTGGCCCAAGCTCCTGGTCTCTCTCTGGATTGCTCAGGGTGTTGAGGAGGAAGGAGTTTGTGTCCTCAGTTGACCACACTAGGTTGCTGCCGCACTTGTACCCTAGGAGCTTCTTGGTGAAGGTAAAAGGGTTGGTGATAAAAGCATTGCGCTTCCTCGCTCTTTCCTTCCCCCGCCACCGGTGCTACTTTGCATGGCGCTTTGTCAGTTTCTTCCTCAAAATATTACAAATCTCGTCAAGCAGGTGCTTTTCCTCTTCACTAGCTACCATATGCTATTTTTGGAGGATTCCGAGTTCTTGGCGCAATTTGTGAATTTGGTTGGCTCTTCCAGCTTTTTAAAATTAAACTACGTATTCATTCTGAAAAGTTGAGGAATCTTGGCTTCCCTTGGCCTCTGCAAGAAAACACCACTGGTGTCAAGTTAAGGCGAGGCCTGTGCTGGTCAGCATTTTCCTTACCAATATGGGAATTGGCCAAATTAATCAAAGTGCAGGATCCTCGCACTAGGAAGTCTGATGGACTGTGATTTGTTATTCTTCCCAGAAACATGGCTGAGACACCAGGTTCATGACAGCATGATGGATTTAAATAATTAAAAGCTATCAGACCCAAGTATATTCTGAAAGTACAGCTAACCTGGAGTTTTTATTTGTATGCTTTTTGTCATTGGAATATGATGAAACAACTAAAATACACAACTCTGGTGTCCAGCTTAGTGTTTGGCAAAGTAGACAAAAGAGGCCATGACAAGACAGAAGACATGAAGTGTGTGTCTGTTAATTTTCCCTTACCAATAGACACTTACTTTGGATACACTCACTGTTGAATTTGCCGTTCCGTTTCTGCTGCTAATATCCTCCTCAGATTATTTCTTCCCACCCATGTGTTCTGGTTAATTTGTGTATATGCCTACGTGTGTGTCATCAGTTTATAAGAAAAAGGCTTATCTGGCTTTAAGAGTCTGTGGACACAGCCAGAGACTTTAACACAAAAGTATAGTTCTAAAAGGAATAAGACAATCAGTAATTTACATAGATAATGTTATAACATTCAATGCTGCTAAAGTGAGTAATTATAGCCAAATTTTAACATGAGCATGATCAAAAAGTCTGAATAAATACCAGTGGCGGATCGTGCATTTCATACCAAGGCCTTCTGTAGTGCTCCGTCTGAATCAATTCACCCCTCAATAACAATTTTATGGTTATAAAAATCATCTTATTATGTAGAAATACAGGGGTGCACATGTCTTCTACTACTACAACTACAGCTGCGACAACCCCCCCCCCAAAAAAAAAAAATCAATAATATCCTCATAAACTCGCAATATTA